ATACACTGTATCAGACTAAGTAGACATTGAAGATGGAGGATTCAATTTTTTCAGCATCAGATAGAAAGAGCAAGGACTGTAACTAGAGAATTTTACACAGAAAAAAGATCCATTTTGATGTTTTTAACATGACAACACACAGACCAAAACAATACCAAGATCAGTTACAGAACTGAACCTCACCACCAACAACACTGAAATCACCAACATTTCTAATCTGTTGCTGGCTGTCATAACCACAGACCTACAGTATCACAGTTCAGCTTTTAAAAGATTCTGCTGTATCCTTATCTAGATATCAGGCAAGCATAATCTTGTTATTAATGCTATAGGCATCTTTCAGAGCGCACCAATCTATACCATGTAGATTTACAATTCATTCATCCATCCATTTTCTAAACGCTTCATCCAATACAACGTTGGGGAGAGCCAGCAAGCAGCCTGGCAAGCAAACATGCTTAAGATAGGAAACACCCTGGACGGGGCACCAGTCCATTGCAGGACACACACAGACGGACACAAATACTTACACTCACACCAGGACTAATTCTGAAGTTAACATACTGGTATGTCTCTGGACTGTGGGAGGAAACCAGAGCACCCGGAAGAAACATGGGGAGGACAAACAAACTCCACACAGATAGTGGCAACACCGTGCCACTGTGCTGTCTGGATCTACCATTTGGTAGGTTCAATTAACAATTAGCTTTCTACCTCACCAATGACAGCAGGCTAGGTAAAACACATGCAAAGCTTTAAGAAAAGTGACCAAAGTTCTCATATGACATTTTTTTGAAAGAAGATGGGTATCCTCTTTATCCACTACCACAAGGTGGCTCTGTACATTGTTCCATACTTCTACAACCATTTGTGTAATGATGTGCCTCCTGTTCTGGGTTTTAAACACACTTCTTCATAGTGTCCACTGTTGACTTCTGCTTTGTGTTTCACTATGGACTCTGAAGAAGTCTATTGGATTGACTTTGTTAACGTGTTCAAAAACTTTGAAAAACACATTTACGAAACCTGATGTTATATCTGTAATTTTTGTAATAGATAGTTTTAAAAAACAAAACAAGAATTAATCTCACAAGAGACATCAGCAGTGCTCAGGAAGTTTATTTTTCTGTGGTTGAATCTATTTGCTTGTTAATTTAATAGGATCACAGAGCAAAGAATCCCATAAGAATGAAAACAAACATATATTTATGAGGAGCTATTGAGTGATATCTTTATGGTTTTCAAAATCTTTTATGCTGTCAGCTTCAGGTGTGAACTAATGTGAGGCGAGAAAAATGGAGATAAAAGGATGGAAAGTGAAAGCTGAAAGCACATTCAGAAGAGATGACAGAAGTTTTACATACAAAGTCACTTATGTGTGGAACAGTTTACTACTATAATGCTACACCAGGATTCTCTCAAGAGCAAAACACACCTACCTGAAACTGTGGGATGCTTTACAGTAACTGCCTGATTTGCCGCCTCCATTTTTCACTAATAAAAATGTGTTTTTCACCATAGGAAATGGAATTATGTAGTGGTTGCTACTAAATAAAACACAGTTATAAACTGGTGTCCAACATCACAATCTCTTCAGTTTCATTTTGATTTACCAGTGTTCACGAATTCTTTTTTTTACATATTGTCTTAGGTGGCTGTTTTAATCCTGGAGAACAGTGGAATTTTATTTTCATTCTTGATGCATAGTTTCAAAATATTTTTAAGAAATGTCACCTAGAATTTAATTAAAAATGTCTATATAATGAGTTGTGGTTGCAAGGTGCTAAATTTGTCAAGTCGTATTTACTGTTAATCTGATTCAAACTTCCCACACACTTTCTGAAACCCAGGTTGAGTGTTTCGGAGCTCTAAAACCAGAACATAAAAGGGCAAAATACAAGCACTGGCAAGCAAATGAGACAAGTCTTCACATTTGGAAGGCTTGTGATTTTTTGAGTATAGAACTGCAAAGTTATTAAAACAACATTTAAAATGTCATAGAAGAGTGAAATGTTTACTGTACATTGATTTTAGTTTCTGTCTAATCTTATACTGCATTGTCTTGAAAAATTACACCTGACCTTAACACAAAATTGTTAAATTAATTTTATACTATACTTATATTACACTTGTGGGAGTCCAAAATTAGACACTCAGCCATGTTGTTGAAGCCTGGCTTCTTTAAAGAAAAATACTAAATGGGCTGATTTGCCCTCTCATTTGTAACCTTTCTAAAGCTCATACTATCTATAACATACTATAGAAAAAATGTTAACACTGAACTTGTCAGTCAAAAAAACAAATAAAATGTTATTTGTTTATTTTTTTTCTCCTGACTTTATTGTGATGTCCATATCAGCCTGTTTGCAATGGGCCAGTGACATGTCTCATCCTTCATTTACTTCTCTGATCTTTCGCCCAGTCTTAGCTGCACTCCAGTCTTAAGGACCAGACTGAGCACCATACAGTAGGTCATAGAATGTCAATGCACCAGTGGTTCTCAGTTCTTATCTTAGCATAATCCTGTGCCTGCTGGTTTTTGCTACAACTGAGCCCTCAATCACCAGTGTTACCAGCAAGATATCTTTTTGCATTCAGTCCTGGATTCAATTCCTGTTGTGCTGTCTCCATGAAGTTTGCTTGTTCTCCATGTGTATATGTGGGTTTCCTCCAGGTGCTCCAGTTTCCTCTTATAGTCCTTAAACATACTTGGGTTTTGGATACATTGGCCAGGGTATGTGTGAGGAAGTATTTGTTTGTCCAGGAAGTATCCTGCCTTGCTCCTATTGCTTGCTGGGACCCCTGCAACACTGTGTGAAGCAGTTAGATAATGGATGGTTCACTTCAGAAGAATGAACTTCTTGCTTACAGTCTCTCCTCAACGAACTATTTAAGACATTTCTCTTATTTCTGACAAAACATTAGGTAATCAATTGATTCTGAACAGACAGTTGGGAATGACAGTTCCCACAGTGAGTCTGTGTTTTTCTTGAAATCCAAATGGTAAAAATTCAGTTAGCACAACTTAGCATGCCCTTAAACCATCCATTTCTAATTACCTGGAACAATTTCATTTTGACCACTTAATCAGGTGATTTGCTTAACTAAGCAGGTTAGATATCTTTTTAAATGAAATTTCCCATACTTCCTATCCTTTTATGACCACAGGTAACTATTTCAGACTTCAATTAACCAATTAACTTACTATGTTTATCTTAACTTTGATCAATCTCACTTATGTATTATTATTCTATATAAATTACTGATTCAAGTATGATGAAAGACTTTGTATCTTGAAACCTCGGAACTAGACTGTGGAATACACTTCTAAAAAATATCTGTGTTTCCAGTTCTTCATGTACAGCGAAAGATAAACAAATCATATGATTTTGAGATGCACTAATGTTCATTGGAATAAAACAGAGACTAAGTCAAAATGTATTTTAATGAAGCTCTTGCTTTTGTTCAAAGGAAAGGTGGATCCTGCAGAATGTACTGTACAATGCTTCTTAACTAATTATCTGTACTAACAACTAAATGATACTCCTTTAATTTTTAATCTAATTCCTAACCTTTTTAAGTATATCTGATCAGTAACAATCGCATGTTTATGTGTATTTACTATCTTAATGTCACTATTTATTAACATGCAGGAAATTTTCTGTTTTTAATGTTTTACTAACGTATTATCACGCCTAACTCTCATTCCTATTTTAGAAAGTGGTTCTAATTTCACTGGAACAACGCCACTGTCAACGCATATAACATCGACTAATCCTTTGGGAGTAATGGGTAATTCACTATCATGCTCATTTGTAAAAACTTTAAAAAATGTCAGTTTTAATGCTTCTCTGTTTGATGTGTTAGAAAGACATGAACAAAGCAAGAAACAGACTGTGTGGACTGGTACAGAAACCCTGTATTAAAATTATTTGGAAATACAGAAATAAGAACAGATATTTGAATGCCATTACAAATTAATTAAATCAAATTAGGGAATAGAACTATTCTAGAGCAATCACGCTTGTTCTTCATGAGAGTTCAGTCCATAAGTATTTGGACTACTAAGTTAAATTTTTTATTTTTGCTTTACAATCAGGGAATTTGAAGATTTATATGAGTGATATAATAATATACTGTAGAATAAGATAATGTACTGTAGTTTATTTTGGGGTAATTTCCCTCATACATTTGATTATATTAAAAGAAATATACATTGGGTATGAAATATACTTTTGTTAAACCCAGTGATTTCCAGTAATCATAAATACTGAGATGTATTGACTTTTGATACATTTCAGTGTAAAAGTTAGTATTTGATTCCA